TTTCATGAGGACCCTGTGGCTGCCTCCTCACTGGATCACATACCCAAAACAATACCACACAAAGGAAGATTAATTAAATATCTACAGAATAAGCAAAGGGGAACAAACTGGCCTTTGTACATGTTTGACCTCTGAGATATATACCCCAGCCCCACCAGCCTCTCTTGTTAAAATAAAGGTTGGAGCCCTCTGCTTGTCAGCTGGGCAAAGGCGGTAGGCAGAGAAAGGGAGATTTCAAATTCCCCAGGGGGCTCCCTCACCTGGACTCCCACTGCCAGAGCCTCGCTATTCTCCACCGGTATTCTCACTCTGGCATGGGCATGCACCCACCCACTAACTTCCTTAGAGTTGCTGAGGCAGGCTAAGGAGAAATAAACATAGGGCTTAGAGCCCAATGGGCAGAAATCCAGGCAGGGTGTGTATCAGTGTGTGTGTGTGTGTGTGTGTGTGTGTGTTACTGGAGACTGCACCTAGGGTGTTGGCACTGAGCTATATCGCAAGCCCTTTTATTATTATTATTATGAAACAGGTCTCACTAAGTTGCCCAGACTGGGTTTGGATTTGTAATCCTTCTGCCTCAGACCCTAGACTGCTGGGATTACAGGCATGTACCAACACATCCGGCTAGAATCTAGGTTCTGACCAGACTGCTGTGAACCTCCCTGCAGCCCACAGAGCTTAGAAGATGACTCATTTCCACAGGCACCAAAACCCCTAACCCCAGTTCCCTGAAGGCTGCCCCATGCCCATGGCATTACCATGCTATTACCTAGCACCTCCACCCTACAGAGACCTCAACCTGCAGCTAACCAGGGCCACCTTCAGGGCTAGCTCCCAATGAGTACTGCTCCCTCAGAAACAACTATCTTCTCTGGGCACACCTACCCCTACCTGCAGGAGGATGGGTCTGATACCTCCCATCCTCACTCAGTTGCTGCAGCAACCTCGAAATCCAGAGCAGGCACACTGCTGATACACAGATATTTGAAGCATGTAAGGGTCTGAGTGAGACCCCACCCCACAATGCTGGCTCCAGGAGCTCTGGACACAGAGCTAAAGCTGCCTTCCCAAAGTAGTCTCAGAACTATGGTCTGAAGTCCCTTCCCCTTTAAGACCCTCATAGGACCAACCCTAGTCCACCTAGAAGTCCCAAAATTCAACCAACAAACTTTCCTTCACAGTCAGACCACCATGCTTTGATGATTCTTAATGATGATTCTCTTATCTAATTGTACAGAAAAAAGGGACAAGTCTGACCTTCAAGGCCTAACTGCCTCCAGTCAATCAGCCACCATCAAGCAATGCCCTGTCTTCTAAACTTGGAAAACACTCAAGGAATTTTATAAGGACCTCCCCTTAAGAATTCCTGGAAACCAGAGACCCAGGGAAACGAGCTTATGGAGAAGATATGAGACCTTGCTGGGAGGGGAACAAACTTAGGGGGAAGGGAGCAGTCAGTCTAACACTCTCCGTGTTCCCCACTAATTGCTACAGTCACAAGCCAAGTCCTGCTCTAGTGGCCTTTCATGTACAACCCCATACATGGGATCCCCAGTTCCATCATTCAATCCTGGTCTACTGCATGTGTTCAAAGCTTTCTTAGACATTATTAAAACTGGTTTTAAGCCAGGAAGTGGTGGTGGTTGCCTGTAATCCCAGCACTCTGGCAGGCTGAGAAGTAGAAAGATAAAAAGTCTGAGCCAACCCCAGGTAACTTAACAAGACCCTGTCCCAAAATAAAAAGGTTTTTAAAGGCCTAGGTATGTACCTAGGTGTGAAGGCCCTGGGCTCAAAGCCCAGTACTTTAAAAAAAGAAAGAAAAAAAAAAAAGATTACTTCTACCTCAGGTAAAGTTTAGGGCCTTTGCCCTTTGCTCTGGACTCACATCTCAACCCTCTCTCTCCTTTGCAGGCAACTTCAAGGAAGCCCAGTTTCCTTCTCCAGCTGTGAAAAGATGCTCTGGGCTCTGGAATAATCCCTTCCTGGATGCCAGTGGAGCAGCTACACCAAGATGGAGCAGCTTCCATTCAGTGATGGTCACATAGTATCCAGAAATTCCTCACACAGTGGCTTGCAGTGCTGAGCCTAGAGGATTCTCTAGTAGTTTATGTGGGAAAAAAAGGCAGTTCCAGCTCCGACAGCTCAGTTTTCCAAGCTGCCAAGCAGAAGAAGGCTGGCCAGAGAGCCAGAGCTGTCATGCAAATCAGAAAGCTGGGATCTAGCCATACTTTCTAGAATCCCCAGAGGGGTCTGAAAAATGCATCTCTTTCGGCTTTTTGCAGTGACCCCCAGGTCCCTCACTGTCTCCTGAGACAAATCATGCCCCAGGGCTCAGGCACATCTGCAACTGGCAGGATAGCAGCTGCTCTCCACTTTCCCCACCCAAAGTTCTGAGACCTACTCACCCAGCCTCTCACCTCAGCCTCTGGGGAGACAGGTGAGTCTGCCAAGCCCTCCCTCCCTTCTGGCAGCAGGGCTCCTGGCCTCCTTCACCCACTCTGAAACAGAATGCTGATGACTGCTGACATTCCATCTGAAGAACCTTCATAGCAGTCCCACAGCCAGAGAAAAAAGTGTGTGTGTGTGTGTGTGTGTGTGTGTCTGTGTGTGTGTGTGTGCATCATGCTTATGGGTAAAGGCAGCCAGCTGTCAGGGCTGAGTGTCAGAAGCGCCCAGAGTCTCATTAGTAGCTGCTTTTCTCTGACTACAGGGCAGCAGGGAAAAAGGAGGGTGGGAGACAAGCTTTCTACCCTGTTTCCAGTGACTCCTGGGTTGAAGAGGCAGAAGGCCACCCTGTTGACTACAAGCTGTGAGCGGCACACAAAGCCAGCTCCTTCCTAATCTCCCTAGGAACCAAGGTCACTCTAAACCAGGAGCAGGGCCAGGGATACAGCTCAGAAGCTCAGTGCCTGCCTGGCAAATACAAGGTCTGGAATCCACTTCCCAGTATCCCCCCCCAAAAAACCCAACAACAACAAAACAGGAACAGAGGCAGCCCCTGTCCCCTGCCATAAAAACAAGATCAGAACCTTGGACTGAGCCTCCTCTGTGGGCCGCCTGATCTCTTTCCCTCCATCTCACGGCCACACACAAGCATGCTCCCAGATGTCTCCAGAAGCCCCTTGCTTTCCTCCCATATCATGGCTTCCTCAACCCAGCCCCCCCAAAGGAGTGTAGAACACAGATGACAGGCTCCCACAGGAGGAGGAGGAAAGAGAAAGGACTTTCATCAAAGAGGTGACGTCAAAAACAGGCAACTTATGAAGCTGTCAGGGGCCGGGAAATTTGGACAAAGGTGTCTAAAAATAAACTCCTGAAGCCAGGAAAAGACTTTGGTGGCTGAGTCGTTCACCACCACACCACATGCCATGCGCCGTGTTCTGAGGTCTGGAACCCATAAGTCTCTTCCTCAGGGGGTGCTTCTCCAGATTATCCCTTGAGGTTGAGGAAGGCACAGACAGGACCAGGCATCATGGATTAGCCTCTCCCTGGAGTGCATTGGGTGGGCACTGAGATAACCTGCTCCCACCCTTCCTGCCAACCTGCATCCTCACTTCCAGCACATCCCCTCCAGCACGCCTAGGTCACAAAAGATACTCACCTTGATGCTCCTGTGCCTCCACCCTAACTCCACAACACCAAGTCAGCCTTCCCATTTCCAGGTCCGCTGGCCTGCCTCTGCAAACCTGGCTTTGACCACAATGACCATAACTGATCACTCAGGGTCTCCTTTACTCACTCTCCAGCCCAGAATCTTACACCTCCCTACCCAGTACTGTGTTCCCATTTCCTGTCCTTTCCCCAAACTGTTCTAGAGGACAAAGTCACAAGGCTCCTCTCTCCAAGTCTGCCAAGCTCCCACTCTGAATGGCTCTCTTGTTGTATATCCTGGCCCTAGCCACAATGGCCTGATGCTCTGCACAGCCCTTGATGTCATCAGCTGTCCAATCCCAAAACATACCCTCTAGGCAGGGATGGGCCGGCCTGTTTCAGATACGGCTCTAATTAAGCACTGCAATAATTCCCCACAGCATTAGATCAGATCTATGCTTCTCTCTCTGCTCTGCCTAGACCATCCTTACCTCTTCTCCAAAGGTTATTTTAGAACTCTGCCTTGAAGTGACTGCCTTTGAGAGGCTGTTCCTGACCACTCTACCTACAGTGGCCCCCTGACATTCTCACCCTGTTCTTTTCTAGCACTTATCTTTTCAGTCCTTATCTGACACTTAGTACTTACCTTTATTGCCAGACCAGAAACATCAACACTTGAAATCATACCCTGTCTGGAATCCAGCATATAGATACTCAAAAAATACAAATTAATGAATAAACATCACTTCTAAGCCCACAGTGAGGCTGTTTTCCTAGCACCCTAGCTTATAAAATGTTGAGAGGAAGAAAGATGTACAACAGGGCAAGGTCTTTAGTATTTCTGCAGATACAAGGTCATTAAGATATACCAGATGTTCTGGTGCCTGGTTCTCCCCTTCTTCTAGGTAAGCTGGGCTGCTGGCATTACTTCCTTCCAACAACGGAAGAGGAGACAGGACTTGCCATTGGCGCCCCAGTCCTAGGTTCAGGGAGCAGCTTGTTAGCCCATCCAGAGGCAGTGCCAGAATAACACACGGGAACCTGAGCCTGCTCAGCCAACGGGAGCCTCAAGGCTGCACTCTGTAGGACTCTAGCAGGATGAGGACAGAGTGGGCTTATGCATCTGCCTGAACAGGGAATGAAGGATGAGCTCTACAGTTACCGCCAAAACTAAAAGCCTACAAACTAGACCAGGTTCTGAACAAACTCCTGGGAGACCCCCCCCCCCCCGGCTCCTAAAAGGTCATGGGCATCTCAAAAAGATGTCATTGGCTCTGCCCAGCTTTCTAGCTCCCCAGGTAATGTGCTACATTAGGGCCTCAAGGTGTTTCCCACCACCAAACTACCTCTGATTCCCTACCATGTAACATGGCGGACCTCCCAAAATACATACCAGAACCATGTCTCACCTTGATGTAGGTGTCCAAAGCAGGATGGACCCGGCGGATAGCCAGCCAGATGGATAGAGCAGTGGTGTAAGGGAAGGTGGCTGTTACCACATGGCTGGGTGCTGGGAAGGAAAATATCTTGAAGCCAAATTTCTGGTAGAGATGGATCAGTTCAGGGGAAGGCGACTCTTCACCTTCACTCAAGATACTGCCCACTGCACAGCGGCACTTCTCTGGGGGCACCTGTAGAGGCAGAGCAGTGTTCAGAGCTGGGCAGAGTAAGAAGGTGCTCAGGCTTCCTACTGCCTGTGCCAGCTCAGGCCTGGGAGGACCACCTGCTCCACAGACCACAAAGCCCCAGATCCCAGCACAGGGCTCTTTGTTTTTCTGCCCACACCCATTCATTGCCCCTGCCTATGCATCCTGCTGTAAGCCTCGTATACATCCCTTCATTAATTCTTGCAACAATTATACCACACCTTGGGGCCGGGGAGGTGGCTCAGTGGAATAAGCGCTTCCCTGGCAGGCGCAAGGGCCTGAGTTCAATCCCCAGTTCCGCCAAAAGAAAAAAGAAAAAAGAAAAAAAAAATTATACCACACCCTACGCTGGAGACCCAGGTATCACCATGAGGGTTCAGACTTGGTATCTGTCCTCAAGGAACCCAGGAGAGGGAAGGATGGAGAGGACTTCTGCACCATCACCTTCCACACAAACTATCAACAGCACCACTGAGGGGCCTTCCCATCTCCTGAGAGTCTCCAGAAAGGACTGATGACTGGCTCATCCCAAGGTCTGGATCTAGTACAGCTCATTGAGTTCACTGTCCTCCTAGCTCCTAGAGGAACAAGCTTCACTGGCAGAGAAATTATGGTACCTAAGGGAGCAGAACTGAGGAATGTGGACAAGAAAACAGTCCACAGCTCTCTTCTTTGCTGGTCACATCCTAGGAAATCTCCAAGTGTGTGTGTGTGTGTGTACAGAGTATAAAGGCCAGGGTGGGGACATGTCATCTGGCTGTGGAGGGGCTGTGAAAAGCACTGTCAGAATGGTAGATCTCTTCTCCAACCCAGCCCCCATCCTGGGGTGTGGCCAGTCTCTCCCTGGCTAAGCCCCAGACCAGTGGCTCCCTCCAAGTCTTGCAGCCCCTACCGCCAGCACTTCTCTGATCCTCTCTCCCTCCTCACCCTTCTTCCCCTGGTTCCTAGCAGCCCTGGCCAGATGAAGCTCTTCTGTCCTCCAACTCTACCCAGGATTGACCCAACGCCTAAACAGTCAAACTTTCTCTGGCAATAAGAAGTTCCACTTTGTCTCATTTCCAGTGATCTATTTCTCTTGTCCATTTTCCTGCCCTTAAGTTATCAGCCCTTGGCCTGCATTTCCAGGAATAGGTGTCCCTGAATCCAGGTCACACAGACCTTGGGGTCTTGATTCTGAGTTTTGCTCACCTTGAAGGCTCTCTTCCCCCCCCATCCGGGGTTCACTCACCCCTAAATTTAAACAAGCCACTCCCTCTGCCCCTATTTAGTTCCTTCCCCAGTTCACCTTCCCAGCACTATGTAGTCATGATTGCCTCTGCCCTCCCAGTCTAACCCTTTCCAAGCCCTGTCTCCAATTCCCTGGGACATTCTCAGTCCTCATTTGCCTCCTGTATTCTATCCAAGACAGCCCTGCCTTAAAATCACACACTAGGACTTGTGCATCTACCTTGCCCTGTTGTACATCATTCTCACCTCTGAGCAGAGGCTCACCCTCTCTGGCTCTGGGCCCCTTGCTGCTCTGTTGAATCCAATGACATCAAACCTGACTCAAAGCTTTAGCAGCAGGTAGTACTTATGTGCAGCGGTTATAACCACAGTGGGAAAAGAACCAGCTATGATGTGAATCTTGAGTCATGTGATCCTCACCAAGTACCTTGGCTTCTTAAGAGTCCCAGTTCCTTGACAGCTACTTATAGCCCTGTCATACTAAAAGCTATTTCACAAGGGCTTAGCTTGGGCCACACACTCACCAACTCCTCTATGACAGTTATCAGCTGTTAGTGGCTAAGACACAGCTACTAACAATAGTCCCTTGACCTCGCATATGTATCTACACTGATCCGTGAAGAGGCAGTTCCTCCCCACCCATCCTTCAGGTTCACACAGGCTTGGTAGCGCACTCTCCTCTCCCTACAACCTCCCCTGCCTTTCAAGCCTGCTGGGGCTAGCAGCACAGTCACTTCACCCGGAAGCTCAGGAGACTGCTACAGTACCACCTCCTGTCTCTAGATGGTGCACCTGCCCCACTCTGCTCCTCATTTGGAGGTTTTCAGAGGCATCCCCAGATAGGCCAAGGGTTTGTGCCTATCACAAAGTTTATTTCCATGTCCCTGACCCTAGAAACCTGTGCTAACAACAAAAACATCCAACGGCGGTTAGAAGGAGCAAAGTGTGGAAGGTTACTTGAATCAAGCTTGGGTCCCAGGATTTTCCCTAGTACCATTTCAGCAGCTCTCAGGAAACTTCTAGCACAACGCTCTCTTCAGTCCACAACAGGTATTAGAATACCATGGTCACCCTGCTGAGAAACTCAGTGGCTCCCAATTCAACTCCAAGATGAAACTAGACTCCACAGCCCAGCATGATTGCAGTCTGTTAGCATGGCCCACACGACACTGCCCAGATGTATCCATGCACTCACCTCATATCCTTATGTCCCCAGTCCCAGCAGGGGCCAGAGCTCAGCTGCAGAGGCACCCACCGAGTGTGTACGTGGCAAAGGGAGGAACAGATCCAGGCTTTGGCCCAGCTGCCTTGCCAGCCTCCTCCCCTGCCACACCACCGCACACACCCACAAGGAACTATTTACAGCCAAACGTATCACACTCCTAGGCTTGCTGCCTTTCCATAAACTACTTCTTCTGCCTGACATGTCCTCTTCACCCTATTCCAGAGTCCCTGAGGCTGGGAAACTCCTGTCCATCCTGTAACACTGTTAAATCCATCCGTTCAAAGCCTTTTGATGTCCTCCACCAAGCTTTCCCTAGATGTCTCCTATTCTAGATATCTTCCTATTCTAAACACCCAGCAGAGGAGCAAGCATTTGTTTTGCATGGTAATGAAGCCTCCCTATCTCTCCCAACCACTCCACGCCTCAAGGCAGAAAGGTCCAGAATCCTGTGCACACAGAATATTCTTAGGCTGTGCTCAGTGACGGTATACACATGTATACAGATCTTCCTCTTTTTCCATCTGAAGAAAGAGCTCCCGCCACGTGGGAGAGAATAAAGAAACAAGGCTCCTGGGATCCTGGAGGTGTGTGGAGCACAGAGATTCCCTTTCCACCTGAGCAAGCCCCTAATTCCATAAGGACATTTCTAATCCCTTACCCTGCCCTGACTGGTAGCTAGGGGGCAGCCTAAGAGAAGCCTTAGCCTCTATCTAAGTAGCCCCAAGTCAAGCTAGATCTGGGAAGCAGCTGAATCAGTTACCAGCTAAGAGATAAGATAAACCCTAATACAATCCAAGGAATACAAAGGCTGGCCCAGTAGCAGGGAAAGTCTTCCCTGGTCACCCAGGACAGCTCAGGTCTACCTCCAGAAGACATGGCCTACTGAGGCTGTCAAGGGCCCACAAGGTGTGGGTAAACTGATGTTAAGAGATGCCATATATTTTGATTCAATGCATTTTTAGTTGTGCCCAACCCTGAGATAAACGCCTGAACTTTCCCCACCTGCTTGCTCCCTTTTTTCCCTATCAGCAATTATCTAGGTACCTGTGCACAGCACAAGAGTTACCCTAGAACAGCACAGCCAGAAGCCACACAAGGGAGACAGCACAGTGGCAAGAACTTTGGATAAAGGAAAGCTATCTCAGTATCTGCCCTCAAAACATGAGTACCAGGAAAGAGCTTGGAACACGCCAGAGTCCAGGGCAACTCCTCTAGGCTATACAGCCCCTTGAGTAACAACACTGTAAGAAAACAAGAGAGCAGTCTGCTTGGAACCTGAAGATTTCCAGTGGGAGCTGGTCGTAGGACTGGCTCCATCCTCCCTTCCAGAAAGACCTCACAGGGTTCTCACAATGCTGTGCTATCGTCATAGCAAAGAGAGTCACCTGAGAGCCCTGCCTGCCTAAGACCTCACTGATAATAGGAATAGAACAAGATTGCTATCTTCCAGGATCAAGATAAAAAAAAATGGTACCATGGGGTTAACTATCCCTAACCCCACAAACAATGTGGAGAGCTGTTGAAGATCTGCAAGCCCCAGGGTCCGAGGGTTCGCCTGCTCCCTTCCATGCCAGCCAACCCAACCCAACCTAGAGCTACTCAAAGTAGAGGAGAAGCAAAGGTAGTGTCCTCCACTTGCCCTGCCGGGGGAACAAAGTGATGCTTTCCCATTATGGAGGCTGGACAGTGGGCCTCAATGAGTCTCCTGGATGCTGCAGGTCAACACCTCAAGCCTCACGAGCAGGTGGTGCCCAAAGGCACATGGGGATAGGGACTAGTCAGGACAAGTGTTAATGCAGATAACAGGCCAGAGGTCAAGACCTATACTTCAGGTTTGGAGGAAAGGGAGGAGGCAGCAGGATACCAGCCTGGCGTGGGGGTGGAAGCTGGGGGGATCTATAGCTTTCTGAGAATTACCACCCAGAATTCTTCCAGAAAACTTGCTCTGCTTCCACCTTCCAAAAGCATACTCCTAAAAACAGCTTACCTGATGAGGCCTCACCACTGCCACCAGTTACTGCCTTCCATTCATTTGCTCATGAACTCCAAAGAGCATGGTGCGGCAGGTGATACTGTCAGCCATGTTCCTGAGGTCCAGGAAACTAAAGTCACTCAGCAAAGGCAACACAGCAAGTCAGGATTCAAGCCTAAGTAGACCTGCTTCAGAGCTGTGCCATTAACTCACAGCCCTTTGAGAGCCTGAGAGGCCCTGGCTAAAAACAGGCTACACAATGGCCTTTCCCTGCTCAATGCCCAACACAGCCCAGCAACCTGTGGTAGGAAGGCAAGGTCCTGAAAGTACACAGGCCCATTGGTAAAGGATGTCAGAGGATGTCAAAGCGAGATGTCCCAAGTGCTAAGCAGCTATCAGGGGCCAAAACTTGGGCTTTTTCCTTGCCATTTAGTCCCACAAAACTAAAACGCTGGACTGGAGATGTGGCTCAGTGGTAAACCATGCTAGGCATGCACAAGACCCTAGATTTAATCCCAAACACCAAAAAACAAAACTAAGGAGGAAAAAGAAAAACCTTGAAGTAAAGGATTCTTTCATTCCCATTCAATAGACGAAGAGACAGGCAGACCAAGTGACTCACCAAGAGGCATAGGCCGGTACACAGTGGGTCAATTCAAACCTGAAGGGTGAATCCAAAGCCTTTCCAATCACATCACCTCACCTCCTTCCCAAGGGCAACTCTAGTGGTCAGAGAAGGGCTCTCCTTTTCAGACCTGCCCCACAGATAACCTGCTACAGAGCAAAAGCCTGGGAAGTACCAGGGTAACTGGAGGGGTAACTTGTGCCTAGCCCATAAGCTCCCTGACTTATCTGACCTAAGTAACTCTGAAAGGACACGGGGGGACATTCTCATGCACTGAGAAAGGAGGATGGCATGGGCCTAACAGCCTCAGGGCCTACAGAGGTCGAGGCCCCCCACCTCAATTCTCATCGTGTAAGAGGAGAAGGGGCTTCGATGGCAGTCTAGCTTCCTAAAGGCAGAACCCAATGTGCCAACACCATCTGTGGCAAGGGCAAGCACTTCCTGCAAGGTGGTAGATAGGAACAAATCCAGGCCGGTCCTAGTCAGGTAAATGCAACTGGCTGCCCTACCCTCTTGCTTCAGCTGGGCTCCCACAGAGCAGGTAAGCAGGTTGCTTAAGCCACAAACACAGCATCTAAGCTGGTAAAGCAGAGGGTGGATTAAGAAGTGAAAGACCAGACTGACTAACAGACACGACAGACACATGGGCATTGAGATAGCAGCCCAGCCACTAGCTCCTGTCCTCAGGCCAGAGCTAGCCAGGATCAAATAGGCACACAATGTCCCCCCAGATTCCCTTCTCCTCCAACACTAAGGGCTCTCCTCTATCACTGTCCCAAGCCCAGGCCCAGGAAAGGTTACAGTCCATTTCCAAACCTAAGCACTCATTTGAGAATGGGAGCGGAGGGCAGAGCAGCTTTTCCAGCCAGGACCCATCCTCCAGCTCTGTGAGGACAATGTGGACGCGTTATATATGAAGACGGGCAGGTCCACGACTGAAATCACCTCACAGACCCTGGTGTCTGGAACTCAGCCTTCTACCTCAGGTATCTTGAATGCTGGGCTCTGAATTAGAGAAGGCCACGTAGGAGATACTGCCAGGGCCTATTCATCTCCCAACACACACTTTCCTTCCTCCTCACCCTATTCTCAGTCATGATAAGGCCTTCAGGCCCAGCCAATGGGCATCTTTCCTCCTGCTTCATGGAAACCATCTGCCCAGACCTCAGCCTCCTCCCATACAAGAGGACTCCAGGACACTGAGCTGAAGCACCATCTACTGTGCAAGGGTCTTCAGCAACTGCCTTAGTACCTTTTCTGTGCTATCTCCTAGATCCACATGAAGAAGGTGGGCTCCCCAAGGCTTTTCTCAGGAACCAGCCTCCCCTTTCCTAAGCCAGCACATGCCTAGGAAACTGTCAATCCACACCTCAAAGCCAGGCAGCACCTCTAATCTTGTTATTCACCAAGCCTGAAACAGTCTCACTTCCTCCCCATACTCCCAGGAGCACATTCTGACCCTGTTATGCTATGCTACACAGGAAGGAGAGGCAGAATACTCAATAGGTCAGCCTGTATCTTTTTTCTTCAAGAACTAGATACACAGGGTCCCACATTGGACATGGCTAACAGAGGAAGCCTAGGGAGCAGCAAGCCTAGATTCTCAGCCTCCTGGTAGGAATGAATCTCACCAGGACCACGACAGGGTCACCTTCACCCTGAGAGTTCCTGAGGTCTGGGCCCCCTGGTCCCCACACTGCCCTGGCACTCAGCACACAGTCTGGTACAGATCCGGTGCTCAAGCATCTGTTGAAGGAAAACAATAAAGTACGAGATCAGTATCTCACTCCTGCTATCTGCACCTCATTCTCCCACACACCCTACCTCCACCCCTGCTCCTCTAGTATCAGAGTGTAGACCAGATCTCAGGTCCTTCTGGACCAGGCAGTCTATAATTGTCATGAGCACCTGAAGCCAAAAGTCCATAGTTTCCATTTACACTCCACCAGGGAGAAAATACACACTGCCTAGTTCACAGAATAGGTAGTGTCCCTGAGCCATCCAGTGTGTGTGTGTAGGCCATCTCTGAATGTAGTATCTTTCAGAATGACACAGGAATAAGGAAGGCAGGATCTTAAGGCTCACCTTAAGATGTCCATTCATCTTCTATACAGGCCTGTCAAAAGGGTCTAGGCCTAGGTCACAGTGCTTAGCCTGCCCCCCTCAGCGCATGCTAATATATTTTTTCCACCCTCTTCTTAGCTGCTGTTAAATATGTTGAGGCTAGATGCTGGAATGAATGCTTCACCTTATCACTTAATTGAACCCTTGCCAGCCTAACTATGACACAGGTTTTTTACCACCACTCTACAGATAAGGAATAGAGGCTGAGAAAAGTTATGTGCTATTGAGCCCAGATTACCTGCTGCCACGGGCTCTCCCATCCTGGAATTAGTACTTCCAACCAAGAGGCTTCCAGAACATGTAGAAATACTGAGGAGAAAGGGAGTAAACCCAAGGGGTCCTGCTAAGGGTTCTACTTAGGCCATGTGTGGAAGGAGGGGCAGGAATCAGGGGGAAAAGCAAAAGAAGTGCAAGAACTTCTACAGCAGACACTGACAGAGTAAGAGCCAGGCATCTAGTCTAGAAGTTTCCCATTGCCCCAGTACCTGTCCTATCCCCCTAGGATAGGCTCCTGACTCCTGACATTAAATCAATGCTATCACCCCGCTTGTGACTACAAAACCTTCTTGCCCCATTCCTTAACCAGCCCATGGCGCCTCTCTACTTCATTTCCTTACCCCCTCCTCTTGCCCTTCAGGTCGCTTCCTAAAATGAAGCTGGAAAACGGTGGCATTCCCTTCCTCCCACCACCTGGCCGGGAGAAACTTTCTACCTCTTCCTCCACCCACCACATGTCCATTGGCTATGGTTCCTCAGGCCTTAGTCTCCAGGCCATTGCTCTTGGTTTCCTTAGCCAAGTAGCCCTCTGTGGCCGTTCTAAATTCTACTCATTGTAAGAAAGCCTAATGGAAACCTATCTCTTCTTGAAGTCTCCCCAGTAGACTTGAGGCCCCCTCCCTAAACCCGCAGCTCAAACTTGTGTAGGTGTCCAGTCCAGTGCCTTGTTAAAGAATTACTTGTATGAGGCTAACTTGCCACCACAGTCTGCTGAGGACAGGACCAAGTCTGATTCATCTCCAAAGTGCAGCTGAAAGCAGGGCCTGGCACACACACAGACTCAGCCCACTCTTTTCTCAAATGAGTACACTTAGTGAGGCCTGATCAGTGGATAGCAGGCATGCTCCAGGGATTGCCCACTTGAACTCTCCAAACCAGGAAATTGAGACTGGGGATTCCAAATGCAAGGTCTGGCATGGTTTGACAACAGACTGAAGAGTCCTTGGCAGGTCGTCAGCCCATCTAGCTGTGGGCAGCACCACCCCATAGCATGGCAAGAGACCTACATTGGCAAGCCCTGACTCACTGCAGCTGTAGGACAGCCAGACGCCCACAGGGTGCCTGTGATGCTGGATTAGTCTCTGACTATAGCATCCTGGACATTCTGAGCACCTCATCTAGTTCCACTTGGCCTTCTTCCATCAAGGGATCTTGAAGTCTAAGGAAATGTCACATCATTGGGTCACGAGGCACCAGAATTCTGGAGAGATGGGATTCTACGCCACAGGCAAGAGGCTGCAAGAGCTTATCATCATAGCAGGAAAGCTGAAGGAGGTAAAGCACTGAAACAAGATATAACTCCAAAGAAGGGGCAGAAACTGTGGAGATGGAAGAGGGAAGGACAGCAAGAAGAGCAAACGGACCAAAGTCCAGGCAGAAATTAAGGACTCACAATGATATAGTCCACTGCTCTAAGAAATGCATAAGTAGCCATGAGCAAGGAAAATCAGACCTAGACAAGTAAATGTCAGCTAATAGATGCCTGAAGCAAGAATCTAGGCTAAATATGGAAGATACTTCAGGGTCAGAGAGGAAGTGGTCTACACAACCAACTCAAAGCCTTTCCCACCCATTCCCCAGAATCCCTCCACCCCAAGTCCCACCTCCCAAGCCATGGCCCAGGTCCATCCACAGGGCAGAACTCCATGGAGGCTCCTTACCGTGTGAGGGTTGTCATAATAGACAGCAATGGAGCGGAGCTTGGGGGAGATGCAGCAGCTCTCAGTGAAAAGCCGCCCAGTGTCGCTATAGGGCCCCACATGGAACTTGTAGGCCACAGTGATGTTTCGGACGAGGGGCGAGCCAGCACTCACTGCCACCCCAGTCAACAGGCCTGAGTACCCGGCAAAGGCCAGCAGCGTCAGCAACAGTAGTAGAGTCAGGCCCCCAATAAGGCCCAGTAGTAGCAGGTCCGACATGGCGCTGGGCCCCCCACACCACACCCTAAGGCAGCTGCAAAGGAGACAGAAGGGAGAGGAGGCTGGTAGCCTGCTCTGACCATGCTCACCTGCCTGCTGGCGGGTTCTGACCCAACCTCACCCTGCTTTGGGTGCTCTGACCCAGGAGGGGGAGGGCCAGAAGTGTTTACACACAGAGTGACCTAGAAGGGAGCTACAAAGGATGACTGAAGCCACAAGCCTCTTTATTTCTTAATCACAGTTATTGAAGCTCTCGGAGCAGCTCAGCCTGGCAGCTGGCAGCCCTGGCCACATCTGGGGAAACTGAGTCATAGAGAGGCAGAGGAATGAGTCATCCAGGGACAAGTTCCTGTTCCTGAGCAGTCTCCCTTGAGACGGACCAGATACTAGCAGTCTATCTTTCCTCTCATTGCCTCTTATTTCCCACAGCTGAGCCACTGTCAAGCCCCAGCCTCCCCAAGCCTCACACACTACTGCCAGACCAAGAACGGATAGAGTTCAGGGTCCAAACGCTTACAACAAAAAAGGAAAAGTGTGAGGGAGAAAATATGTTACTGGAAAAACATTTCATAGGAAACTCATTTGCTAAAGAGCACATCTGGTCTACAGGGACCTTGCTATCCACAAGCTCAACCATCCAAAACCAACCTGAACAGCTGAACAGAGCCCAGCCTGAGCTTCTCAGACATGAACCACCAATGCTAACAAGCTTCACTGTACTTTCCCAGTCCACATACTAGAAACAGAAAGAAGAGGAAAAGGCTGCTAGAAGTGGAAACACAAAAGAGGAAGTAACAGTTACTCATAAGAGGCAGAGAAGCATTACAAGACAGGTCCAGAATCAACAGAGGCCAGTGTCTGAGCCTTTCAAGGCCACCATGAGGCTTTGAGCCAGAGGCCTAATCCTCTTCCAGAGGGCTTCATCTGAGCAGCCCAGGAAGGAGGCAGGACTCATAGCACACAGAACAGAATACTGTTTACACAGGAAAGGAAACATGGGCCTGCCTGGGGAACACTGCCACTTCAGTCACTTAAAAATTATTATTTACAATTTAAAACATTGGAACTGAAAAGGCAGTGCTCCAGCCCCATGGAAAACTTAGCTCTATGGAATTATTTGTTCCCAGTGAAAATATTATGCTGAAAAATTATCTTAGGAGTCAATGAGCAGTATCTACCTCACAAAAAGGCCAAATACATTTCTAAACCTCTGGTGTCAGAGCCTGAAGCACCTCCCACCAGTCTCCTCACCCACTGTAGTCCTGCTCGACACTTTATCTTCCTTGCACACACTCCCTGTCCCACTCGTTGTGTCTCCACTTAGTTTCATCTCTTTCGTCTTGATAATGACAGCATTCTACTGAATCACTGCTACTATACTCGGCCCCCAAACAATCCAACAAAGTAGGTACAGATCAGGAAACAAGTACTGTAGTTGGAAGTTACACTTATTCAAGGACACACAGGTATTAAAAGGAGTTACCTACACCAAAATGCAGGCAGTGAAAACACAGGAGGTATGACTTCAGTACCCTATTTCCACATTTTCTCCTCTTTGGCTTCCAGAAAAGCCCAAACATTTAATCCATATTAGACATCTCTGAACCCCAAACTGGGAAGTTCTCAGCATCTAGGCCACCATTTGCCCTGGGAATGACAAGCCCTCACTCTGACCTATTCTCTCAGAGGCCTAATTCCTGTTTCAAGGGAATTTAAGAAATGCCAGCGATCTAGGTGGCTGAGACAGGAGGATCAAAAAGTTCTAGCCCAGTTTAGGCAACTTATTAAAATCTTTTCAAAATAAAAATACAAACAGAGGAGAATGTAGCTTAGTGTAAAGGACCTGGGGTCAATACCCAAAGGGGAGGGGGGTACTTAACACCTCTGTCTTTCTTTGCCTTAGTTTCAAACTGTTTAGAAAAGAAGGGGTGAAAGATATTCCTTCCAGTCCCAGAGGCTTGGGAAGCACCAGAAGGAGAACGGGCAATGCATTTCCCCCACAAACAAAGAGCAAGGGAAGGTAAATGACCTGGGCTCACCTTCTCAGGCAGGCTGACTTTTAGCAACTCATGGCATCCAGCACAGCAGGGGCCAAGTGCTCCAGTGCTGCAGGCGGAAAGGAACAGTTACCCCAGCCCAGGATATAACCAGTCAGCAGGGCACCATGCCCTGACTAACCCCTTTACAGTGAAAGCCCACTGGGCCTCTACAACCACCTCAGATCCCTTGGGAAAATCAGAGGCCAAAGTTGGCCTCAAAGTGTTGGGGCTCTTCACTAGGGTCCAGCTCAGGCCCCGGAGAGCACCAGTTGAGACACTGCACCGAAACAGTCCCTCCTTTCAACCTTGGGCAGGCTGTACCCTCTAGAGCCTCAGTTTCCCTTCGCGACAGAAGCGCTGGGCGGAGGTGTCCGCCCGGAACAAGTGAGGGGCAGGCGGGCGGCCGGACGCAGCTTCCCGTGGCGGCTCACGTGCGCTGCCCCTAAAGGACTCCAACACCCGCAAAACTTGGGGCCGAGCTGAGAGGGCAGGCCGCAGCTCGGTGGCCCGGCCGAAGAAGGGCGCCGCCTCCAGCTCTCGGCTTCCGATCGCTGGAACCTCACTCAGTTGCTCGGCTCCTTCTCTCTTCGCCCATCGCCTCACAGAGGCTACGCACCTCTGCAATTTAAGAGACGCCAAAGTTTGCTGCTGGGAGGCGCCAGCGGCCTCGGCAACAGGGCGGAGTTAAAGGTGACTCTGCGCCCCTACTTTCCCGGCACCGGCGGCCCAAGGTCGCCTTCGCCTTCGGGCCTCGGATCTGCCGGGGGCCAGGTGTGAGCCAGGCGAGAACTACAGAGCGGTCCAGACCGGGAGGCTACAGAGGGGAAGCAAAGACTCCTGAAGTGCAGCCTTCGCAGAAGGGGTCCCCGGCAGGACGCCCCTGCTCCACCGGCCCTCACCTCAGCAGCTGTAGACGCCGCCCAGGAGCAAGCGGCTCCGGGTACAGTCGCCGAGCCTGCGCGTGCTCGCAGCTCACGCTCGCTCCGCCCCTCGCACGGCGGGATGTGGCCTTGGCCGTGGGCGCGCGCGCTGGAGACACGGGGGAGGGGGGACGGGTCCCTACCCCGCCCCATCTCCGTGGCAACGCGGGCATTCCACCCGGCCCAACCCAAGCTCACTACAGCCGTCTTCTTCCAGCTACCCCAGGTATCCGAGTTGGTGGAGGCATCCGAGAGAAGCTGGGCTGCAGTCGTGGGGGAAATCAGCTCGATGAACCGTGAAGGAGTGTCAGGTTGGGGTCCAGGTTAGGGAGGAATAGCACCACTGGGTTAGCCTCTAGCATTTGCACCAGCCTCGCTCCTGCTTTCTCTGAGACTTTATGACAGGCCTAGGAATCAAGCAGGGCAGGACCACTTGCTGCCATTTACAGATGAGAAAGCTGAATCTGAATCTGGGCTTAGGGAAATAGGTAGATCCAACCTGTAGACGGCACAAATTGCTTCCAGCCACCACTCATCTATCCACCAGCTCTTCTTCCATGAGTGCTGTCCATCCAATATTTATGCAGTACCATTTCCTGAAAGGATAGTTCCAGGGGCTGGGGATATTTAGTGGACAAAATCAAATGTGGCCCTCCTGGAGCTCATATTCCCTGCCCCAGAGAAGCCTAGCAGAGGATGTGGGTGAAGTGACTACTATTCATATAAGCTTCACTACTAAGAAGCTTGGCTGTAAGACAAACTGGGCCAGGGGTATCTTGGCGCTTCTGACAAGGATTGCTGTTTGTCACCAGGAAGGTAGATGCAGAAAAAAATAAGCAACCACAGGGCAGTATATCTTGTGAATCCCATTATTGCATGGAACCTCAGCCACAGGGCAGTGTATCCTGATACTCCAAGTAGAGTGGCAGAATAGGCATTTGGGGCAGGACCAACAGGCCATGACTGTTGATTTTCCTATGAACGTCAACCACATGACTTTCAGGTGACCCCAGGCAGGTGAAAGATATAATTGGAAGCATTTCCTGAGACACAGAGTGGTCAGGCAGTAGTACCTAAAGACACCCTCTGCCTGCAAGATTTGCACTGTGGATACTGCTTCTCAGAAGTTGATGAGCTCCCAGAAAACCGTTGTCTGGAGCTGCCCTTTCCTCATCTTGTCCTCTCTGTATCACTTCCTTAGCTTGATCGGAGAACTCCTGAGCCCCACACCAAAGTTCAGGATGTGCCTTAGGAGCTTCAGCTCTCTGCTATGGAAGGACAGTCTGCCTGTCAGTGGGCTGCAGACCATCAACCTGCTAAGCAGATTCTAGCAGCGCAGGCGCCATCCTAGGCAGGACCTCCGTGACACCCGACTGACCACCAGGAGGCAGCAGCGTGCCTAACAAAGCATTTTTTCACGTTTTAAAGCAGGCTTGAGAACTGCTCACCCTTACTTCCCTCTGGTCACTGTTCATTCCCTTTCCTATATGGCAATAGCATTCCTGAATGGCAACTCCTGTCATTCGCCCAGGTTTGGGCTTTGCCTCCTCTTACCATTAATCTCCACAGAGGCTCTTCTTTCTAGATAATTTTTCTCCAGGAGTACTCCTCCTCAAAGAAATTAAACTTGCAGAGCTAGGCCAGACTATCCCCTTTCCTCGCCCTCAGGCCCCTAACCCAGATGACAGAGATTGCACATGCAGCTCAAAATGCTTTCCAACTCTGCCATCAACTACCACTTGAAAACACACTATCTCCCACCCACTTGAAGGCACTGATGCTGGCCCAACTCTCAGCCACTCACAGCCCAGACAAGGCCACCTCTTAGGATTTGCCATGGCTGGGAACCAGGTAGCCTCAAATACACTTAAGTCAGCTAGTGATGTCCATCCAATATTTATCAGTACCATTTCCTGAAAGGATGGTTCCAGGGGCTGGGGATATTTTTCAGGTGCCTAGAAGCGCAGCAGTAGAACAAACAAGCCTATGTAAAGCAAAGGCAGAAAAAGGCCAAGTGAACTACATAGCCAACCAAGCCTGCCAGCAATCTGCTCTGTTCTCACCTATCTCCAAATGCTGTCCCAATGCCCACTAAGCTGAATAATATTCCTCCCATCACTCAGCTAAACAGCCATCCAGACAATTCCTTAATCAAACAACACTGCCTTCTTGAATTTAAATTTTATTTTACAAAAAGAGAAATAAAGAAAACTGATAGGCAGTTATACTGACTTACAATTGTTCTGTTTGCTTTTTTAAAAAAGTGACATGAAACACAAGTAAAAATAAATACGTCATAGAAACAGCCAGTTGCCCAGTCTCTGGGGCAGAAATGCCTGCCCTGCTGAGAGAGGAGGGAAGCCCATGATCACACCAGCAGCTGGATCACCCAGCCACAGGTGCTCCTCTAAGCCAGGTGCAGGTCCCAGGCCTCAGGGGCGTCCTGAGGAAAGAAGATGGAAAACCAAAGCCAGGTACCAGGGCCTTAGGGCCACCTCATCTCCCTCCACCCCCCTGGCAGCAGTGTGGCCTTAGTGGTTATCCATCGTGAGACCCCCTCAACCCACCTGGACCCTCCTCATAATTCCTCTGAAGAGGTTACAAGGAAAAAAATCTGTCTTGGGAAGGCTTGGGGGATTTTTCTGGTGAGTCCCCAGCCCACCCTGAGTAACACAACCAGATAACAGTCATTTTCCATCCAGGTGCACATGAGCCCGCGCGCGCACACACACACACACACACACACACACACACACACACTCACACAGCTGGGCTGAGCTCTCTTCCAGGGAGGGTCCTGGGTTAGGTCACAGTATGAAGTCCCCCTCTCATCTGAATACCATTCCAGTAGTGGTAGCAGATTAACATACCACCCCTCAAGCCCTCTGCATTGTACACCAAAGCCTACGTGGATACCTGTCCCCACCACACTAAATGACTACACATCAAGGATACCTGTAAGAGGGGAAAGGAACAGACTTGGGTCCCTGAAGAGCAAAGAAGGTAGAACTGCCTGCTGAAATTCATCGTTGTAAGACTCAGGTATTCTTAAAAGGCCTAGAGCCAAGCTAGTGGCACAGAACAGACACTAAGGGGGTCACAGTGGAATCCACAGGGTGAAGAGAAGAGTTCAGAGGAGAGAAACTGAGTCTAAAAGTGAGCATCAGAGAGTGCAGTATTCTCAAATGGGCCTTGAGGTGCTGATTCCCAGGGCACAGTAAGCAGAGGGGCAGAAATTCTTCTAGGGGTTCTTGAAGTGGGCATGACCTCTCAAAGCAATTTTGGTAGGGGAAGAGCCACTTAGCTGAGTGAAGACCATGGCTCAAAAGGAACAATGTGGTCATTTGAGAAATCAAAAGGAACTTGAGAAGTAGGAGGTCACATCATAGAAACACTAGAATAAGGAATGTAAAACCCATAGGACCTTCCTCATGGGATAAAGACTCAGTTCCAGGGCAATGGATGCCAGCCTTAAACATATGATACAGAGGGCTTCCCTCTGGTGACAGCTATCTGGTGACAGTCCCACCCAGATGGCTGAAATTTGGTTGTTTCAGCTAATCAACAAACTTATTGCAGCTCTTTGCATCATGCTCCTGGAGTGTGGGGGGAGGGTCCCATAGTTGTCAATCATGGATATAGGTAAAAATTTACACATTAATTCCTAAGGGAGAAAGTGCCAAGGACCAGGAAAGTTGATGAGTCAAGAGATGTGATAAATGCTACGCAGCACAAATCAAAGGGATAAGGGCTTCACTAATTTCCAATCTTTAGAAAAAGATCTCATTAGAATTCACTTACTTCGTTTCTTAAATAACTAGCCAGAAGTCTTTATCCACAGACATTAAGAAAAGGAACTTGGATAATCTCAAATCATTTATTACTATGTTCCCCAGGATAAGAACTTAGGCTATCCCAGATGTATGGAACTTGAGAGCCCTCCCCCACCCCTACCATACCAAGGAAGACAACAGTGAGGGAACTACCTTTCCCAGGTCATCAACATTTTTCCTATCTCTCAGGCATGGATGATAAGCAGAGAAGCCTGCTCTTAAACACCCTTTTGCTTTCTGGCAACTTCAAAAGCCTATCCCTCTAGTAACCAGTTTCAGTTCACTGCTGAAATGGTTTCTGGATCCTAAGAGACCACTGAACTAATTTCCTATTACTGGACATATGAATACAGAATTAGAATTATTTCTTTCCTCATATTACACAACACACACACACACACACACACACACACCCCTCTGGGATCCTAGTGCTCCAGGGCCCAAGAGGTATGTATTAGTGTAACCCAAGTTCTGAACATGTTCTGCTAATTGTAGATCCAGACTAGCTCACTCCTACTGCACCAGCCCCAACCTGAGAGACTACTCCAATTGTTGAAACTCTGCATCTATTACCAGGTGCACCTGACACTAGAGAAAGCACTAGTTGGAACTGCTATTTAAAAATTATTAAAATAATTTGCATAGCTAATATTAGAGATCTAAGGCTTCTATCAGTAGAAGAGTTAAGTGTCTGACAGAGTTTTTATGAAAACAAAGGAAATCTCCTTAAATTCCACTTTTGGTGTTACTGGATGGCACACAAACATGGACAGACACATACCAGCCATTTCCTTGTCTCTTTACTAGGAACAATACCCTAGAGTATGGTAAGGGTCCCCAACAATGGAGAAACAGGCTGATCAGAACAGGTACAGGAGACAAGCTGAGTCACCTTGGCTAGGAAGAGGCAGGTGCAGCAAATGCCCAATCAGAGAGGAGCCATGGATAAGTAGCAAAGCTCTAAAGCCAGACGGATTTGCTCATCATAAAGATCTAGAACAATGAGAGAGAGAGAGAGAGAGAGAGAGAGAGAGAGAGAGAGAGAGAGAGAGAGAACATGAACAGTATACACCAATAGGAGACAGCCAGTGTTTATGCTTAAGTACTAAATGCCCATTCCCTGGCACTGTCAGCAAAGAG